CTGTCTCTCTCTGTCCCAAAAATAAATAAAAACATTGAAAAAAAAAATTTAAAAGGAAAATAAAGTTACCAGTTTAGAAGCCGTAAAAACGAGAGCCTTCTGTATCCTATGAGATGAGAGGAACTTCGTATTCTGACCTTTTTCCTCATTGTTTTGATATTTTTCTTGTGGTTTTAATTTTTTTTTCTTCTTCCAATGTTTCATAAGTGAATTCCCATAGGTCCCCATGTTCTTCCCAGTGGTATTTAAAGAAGGGGCAATGTCACTACATACATTGTATAGTCGTTAACAATTAAAAAGCATTGTAACACCATCCCCTCCTATTACCTCACAGTCTACAAACAAGGTAAGAGGGCAAAACAAAACAAAACAAAAAAACCCGCTCATGCTACAGATTAGAAAACAGAGGTTTACAAAGTTGAAAGGGCCCACAGAAGAGCTCACATATGGCAAATGCTACAACTGGGGACTGGCCGTGTGATTTCTTATCCGGTTTCAAGTAGACAACAATATTTTTGATGCTCTTCCCTGGCACCTATCCTACCTTTCCATGATGTTATGATCTTTTTGGTCACAGAGTGAGACCCTCCCTGCTGAAGAAGGAGAAAAGAAGGAGGACACAGAAGTGCAAGGTGCTACAGCACACAGCCCCCTCTCTACGCAACTCTCAGACCCTGATGAATTCACAGGCCTTGAGACATCCATCCTCCTACAGCACGGAGACACCGTCCTTCACATCAGTGAGGAAAATGGCATGGAGAACCCCCTGCTGTCCAGCCAGTTCACTTTTACGCCCACTGAGCTGGGGGAGACTGATGTAGACCTAGATGAGTCTCATGTTTAATTCTGGATCTTGTAAGAGTGGCAGGTGTAGATGAGATGTAGAAGGGATCGCTTTGCTCAAAGGTGACTACTTTTGCTCGGAAAAGATGAAGACACAGCACTTTACATCCAACGGGTGACACAAATCTCAGTAGATTTTGCTGCTAATGCGCACATTGTTTCATAAACACCTTTAAAAAATGAATGGCTAAGAGAATTTGGTTGTGTGAAGACCATAAAAACCAGGGAAGAATAAGAGGAAAGAGCCATTTCACTGCACATTGTTTATGATTCAAAAAGCCTTGAGCAGTTAAAAATATATACTATTATGGAGCTGCTTACCTAGGAATATTAACAAATAATATGTTCTAAAAAGAGAATGCAATTTTTGAGATTACTCACATTATACATCTCATGCAAATGTTTATTTTTATAGTTTCAAAAATATTAAATCAGGTGGCTGTATGCATAGCAATTTACATAAAAATAATAAGTAATGAAAATATTAGTTTGAGGAGACTAAATAATAAATAAGCCTGCAGCCACTTTTGCTTTGACCAACAATACAGCCATTTACAAAAAGAAAATACTATTTTTAAAGCTGTGGATTTTTCAATATTTATTTTTCAACCGTCATTTACCTTGCATGTTGTAAATCAAAATGCTAAAGCCCTAAGATCGTTCCATTTCATAATCATGTTAGAGAGAAAATATTCTAAAAATAACTACACAATTTTGAATTAAGAACCTAAACAGCCTATACTATAATGAAAACTAAATGTAAATATTCTAGCTAGAAACGTATGGTATTCCTACTTCTAGCCATTACCACATCAATGCCAAGATGAGGAGATATTGGGAAATGTGATTCCAGTATCCTGTGCCTGCCCTCGAGGGTATATTTTTAGATATTGAGGTTATTGTTGTTAGAATTGGTTTGGTAAAATAACTTTTTCTCAGTGTTAACAATATTCTTATCCTTTAGACATCTATGTTTATGAGGAGAAATGATAAAGTGAGCAATCTCTTCATAGGCACAGTCGGTTTGTGTACTTTAACCTGAAGTTCAGTTACTTCAAGAAGAGCATAAAACTTAGAAAACTTGTGAGGCCATATCCAGTGTGTTACTGATCCTGTAGTAGGGCTTGGCATCATATAGTTCAAAACTGAATTTCAAAATTTTAACAGTTTACATTAGAAAACTGTTACATAACTACTAAGCATATAAAAACTCATATATGTATGTAAATTGGTGCGTGTATGCACACACGTGTGTGTGTGCATCTTCTAGTCCTCCAACTGAAGTTATAGATTTTGATTATATGGCAGTGAATCGAAAGTACATTCTGTGTGCTTAAACTTTTAACTACGTTGGCTATGAAAAGTATGTTTATAGAGAGACCTGCTAAACTCACCCAAATCACAAAGGAAGATTATTTTTTTTTTTGTTAAAATTGCTTATTAAATAGGCATTGCTTATGTTGTGATTTATACTTTCAAATATTATTTGGGGTTTTGTGTCCCATTTCCTAAGAGAATGAAAGACACCTGTGAGTTAAAGATAATGGATAAAATGAAAACTTTCACATCTAAAACTTGAGAAAACAGAGGTGGTAAACGGCCTCTTCAAAATTTTACAAAATTTTCAGAACATTTACTTGATGCTGAATTAATTCTCGAGTGCAGAAATATATGTATAAGGTGGCTTTATGATTCTTTCTAAGCTGATATATTTTGCCTGTTAAAAATTATGCTGCTTGGGGCGCCTGGGTGGCGCAGTCGGTTAAGCGTCCGACTTCAGCCAGGTCACGATCTCGCGGTCCGTGAGTTCGAGCCCCGCGTCGGGCTCTGGGCTGATGGCTCAGAGCCTGGAGCCTATTTCCGATTCTGTGTCTCCCTCTCTCTCTGCCCCTCCCCTGTTCATGCTCTGTCTCTCTCTGTCCCCAAAAAAATAAATAAACGTTGAAAAAAAAATTTAAAAAAAAATTATGCTGCTCAATTAGTGTTAGAGGCCTTACGTTTGGTAATTACAACTGTCTGGGCTGTATGAGTCTCTATATGTGTGCACTTTGTTCCAGCTTTTTGGTTCTCGATTCAAATTCTCTATGTATAATCGTATCAAATATTTAAAAAGTAAAGGAGTAAAAAAAAAAAAACTTGAATATATGACAAGAATTCTAAATACCTTTATATATATTTAAAAAGTATTGGGCTGTTTTGAGCACGATTATACTGGCATGTCTGCGTTTCAGCCCGACTCCTTCATTCTAGTGTTACGGAAGTCTGTTGGAAACTTTGTAATAAGCTAAGTATTGTTGTACCTTGCAAAAAAGCCTCCACTCTGAGAAACCGGGCCTTACAGGGTGGGAATGTTTTCAGACTGGGACTGCTGAGGTTTTGCAGATGTGTGCATCTGTTCCATTTAAGGTGCCCTTAAATGTGTTGAATGTAATGTGTTGAATGTTTCTGTGTAATTGATAAAGTATTTATATGTATGTGCATAAGATTGTCACAAGATGTATTCTCAGGAGTACTGTTACCTGGAGTTTGAAAGAATAACTATTTAAAAAAAAAACAAAACAGTTGGGGAAGATCAGAAAAAAGTTCAAGATAATTAACACGTTTTTGTAATGTTCAAAACATTATTGAGTATATGACTAAAAATTATTATATATGGTAAATACAGATTGGTAATACTAGATTATTCCTTAAGCTATGATGCTTAATGATATTTATCTTGTTTAAAGGAAAATCAAAACAGGCACCTACTTCCCATGTGTAAAACACTGGACTAAACCAAGAGGTTGCTTCTTCTGAAATTAACTTTGGAAAGACCTTGGAATAAAAATGTATCATCCATGACAGTGGGTGTAGATTTATACCACTCAGATTCAATTAAAGCAGTTCAAATCCTGGATACAGCATTTTCTATAGCAAAACATTTTACTTTCATTTTTCAGTATTTGCTGCTTTTTATAATTCTATTAGATAAGTTATTTGATTTTTCCAAAAAGGAAACTGAGTTACTGAGTGCATTGGGACAAGTCGCTGAGAACCATAGTGGTAAAAGGCATAAATGGGCAGGACAATGGTGGAGAAAAAAATGATGTGGTGTTTGGGGAGAGGGGGTCTGGTTAGGGCTTGTTGGCTAGGCTGGGAGCAACTGGCTTGCTATTTCAAGCCTGCAATAGAACATTAGGCAGGGTGACATCTCCCTTCTTTAGTACCTGTCCCTTTAGTCAATGAAGAACATTCTTCACTCTGCAGCCTAGCTGTAAGATGATATAAGATGAGAATAGGGTGTATATAGGGACCAAGAGGGAAAAAAGGGGTCATAAGTGGAGTTACAGTCCAAAATGCAAACTAAATACCCTTCCTCAAGTTATACAGGATACTTTATTAAGCCTCTGGAATTTGCTGCTATCACACTGAGTCATGCTGTTGCCCTGTGACCTCACACTTCAATTCCATGGCCTTGTCTTGGCAGTGAGTAGAAAGTCCCACTTCCTTGCTTACTTTAGTGGGTCTCAACTGCAGCATTTCAGAAACAAAGTTTGGTTTGACACTCAGGACAATAAAAACAAGGGCAGAATGTATTTGGAAAAGCTTAAGACAAATTTACTTCTATTATTTCAGGATCATTTAGCATTACAGATCAATGTACCTCCATAATATTTTTCGTCACTGTGACTACAGGATGAAAATCCTTTATTAGCCATTTTATAGGTAAAAACAAAAGATTGATTACACAGCCAACTTCCCTTAGATGACTATGAAGTCTGTGATGAATACTGAATGACCAAAGAGCATGGAAAAAATGCATATGAATACTGAAACGTTTATGAAAGATATTTATGAAAGATATTAAGACCTCTGTGTTTGAATATGCACATATAATAAAATAAAGCTAAAAACATTTAAGATGCCTGATCAAGTTTCATTTTCTCATTCTCAACATAGGGAATAGGTTAATTCATTCAGAAGTTTTCATTTTGGAAACCTTGGGAGTGCTTTGATGTCTCTTCTCAACCCCCAGTCTCCAGTTCTTCCCTCCAACCCCAGATGAGCTCCGTTTTACTTAAGCTTTCCACCCCTATCTTTCAAACTAAAGCAGAATGGATATATTGGGAAACAGGTACCCAGGTTTGATTTCTCTGCCCCGATTATGACCTGATGGAATGACCAGTAGATTTCCCAAGAGGAATGTGAAGGAACTGGTTGCCCTCTAAACATGGCCAGGACCACCACGGGGTCCAAGTTACCACTTTCAATCAATTACAAAGTGCCCATTCCCTACCATCTAAGGTATGCTCTTGCTAAATCCTTTTTTTCCCCCCCTCACGGGATTTCCCCCCACCCCCTTTTCCTGACCCAATGACCTTAGACACATTTGGCAGAGGAACAGACATGCCTACTCTCTTCCAGATTGGGTCCGAACAGTAAATAAATGTATTACAATTTGTCAATGAACCTCCATAAAAAGGAAAAACAAAAGAAAAATGAATAAGGATGAGGGCCAGAAGCCAAGAAGGGGAGTAGTAATAACAATAATCACCACCATTTTGTATTGGGCACCCGAGGTCTCGCGCTGAACGCATTATCTGGATTCACCTATCTGATCCTCACGACAACCCTAAACGCTGGGTAGGGGTCCTAACAGATGAGAAAACGGAGACTGGGAGAAGTGACCGCCGGGTTACCCAGTTAGTACCTAGAAGAGCGACGATTCCGCCCTAAATGTGACTCCTTCAGCTCCTAAAAAGAATTCAAGGAGAAAGCTATGAGACGAAAGGATTTATTTGTTCTGTTGTTTTACAGGCAAGCACAAGCGCTGGAGAGGAGAGGACAGCAGCACAGGTGGAAACAATGGAGAAGCAAAAAGTGAAGTGAGGGCAAGGGCCGAGAAGAAAAGAACCCGGGGGATGTAAAGCAAAAAAAGATTTAGAAACTCTTCGAGTTCGGCGAGGGCTGGGAGACCTAAAAACTACTTCAAGAAGGAAGACGGAAGGAAAGAGGCAAGGGCCTGCAGGCGAGAGGCCCCACCCCTAAGCCCTCGGGCAGACAGCCCCGCCCCCCGAGGGGAGGAGGGATTTCCTCCCTGCGGGCAGCTGCTTCCGGTGGAGTCCGGAAGACGCTATCGGGAAAGGACTAAAACTGCGCAGCCAATCGGGGCGACACTTTCGTCTTCCCGGAGGACTCGTGGGTAACTTGCTCTTGGGAACCTGCACCATGGCGTCTGGCTGCAAGATTGGCCCGTCCATCCTTAACAGCGATTTGGCCAATTTAGGGGCTGAGTGCCTCCGGATGCTGGACTCTGGGGCCGATTATTTGCACCTGGATGTAATGGACGGGTAACTCCGCGGGGCTCGGGTCAGGGTTGCCGCGCGGGGCGGGCTCGGCGCACCTTTATTGAGTGCCTTTTGGGTGCACAGCGTCCCTGTACCGCGGAGCGCCGCACTCTGAACGCGGTGCTGAAAAGGGGACTTGGGGTGGGAGTCCTGGAGGCCCTGGCTGGAGCGAACCTGAGGCGGCAGCCTGGGCTGCGACCGCGTCCCAAACCCCACTTCCTCCCCTCCCCCCACGTAACGTGTGGCCCTAGCACTAGGACCTGGACGCAATTTTAAATCTCTTGGACGCGTCTCTCATTTTCAGTTAGAGAAACTGAGGCCCAAGGGGATAGGCATGACTTGCCCAAGCTCATATAGCTAGTTAGTGGCAAAGCTGGGGAGACAGACTTGTGTAACGATTAAGAGCTTGGTACCTGTAGCGAGATTGCCCGAGTTCTGCCATTTGATGGGTCACCTGGGACAAGCCACTTAACCTCATTGAGCTTCAGTTTCATTATGTGAAAAATGGGAGTAACAATAGAACCTACCGCTTAGGCAATTTTGGAAGATGAAATGAGCCAACATGTAAAGCATACAGTGCCTGGCGTATAGTAAGTTCTCAATAATTATTAGGTGTTGTGTCATTGTTCGAATTTTGATTTTCCTGTTTATTTTCTCTTCAGGCACCCTGCTCTTCAGGGAGGTCAGTTTTTTTGTAAGTAATTTTTAAGCACTGTAGTTATAGCACATAATCGATATTGTTCAGAGTCAGTATGATGCTAGTTTAAGTTGGCTATAAAATGTAGAGTCTAACCTTGAGAAGACAGTAGGACTTTCAGGATTACACAACATTGTGACAGAGTTGCAAATTGTATTTTCTTGGGTTTGCCAAGTAGTTCCTTGAGCCCTGCTGATAACTGGCCTTAAAGCAGTAACAGCCATTACTTTGGGTTCCGGGTCAAAAAATAAATTTAAACAGGTAAAATTTCTGTGTGGCCTCGTGCAAATTTGCAAATTTGTTTTATTTACAAAAGATGATCAGTTACTTCCTGTTCTTTTTAATGTCACTCCTGTTACAAGAGTTTTGTCTTTCTCTGTTCTGTCTGGTTAAATCTGTTGTTTCTCTTTTATATCCGACTCAGTTATCAGTAAGTATCCCAACTGATCATGGCAAAGTCTTTACTTTAGAGTCTAAGCATTCTAGGCTAAGTGTGTAAGATTGGTAAGTATTACCTCTCACGAAAGCTTAATTTTTGTGTTATATACATAATTCATATTCATAGTTATGTACACGTACATAATTTTTGGAAAGCTCTGAGCTTTCACAGGTAACTGGAGGGTGTACCTCAAAGATGGGTAGGTACATTTTCATGTCTGGGATACAGATTTTGTGTCTGAGACCCCTACCTCAGGATAGAACAGGCTACATGTGTACATGTGTAGTCTGTTTAACACAGAAAGCAATTTGGTGTTTTAAGTAAGTCTTGGGCCATATTTGAGTAACTGAATGGAGAAGATAATTTTTTCAGTGCACAAATCAAGAATATTAATGATAACAGTAGTAGCTAATATTTTTGAGCACGTAAGTGTTTTCAATGTTCTTTGTGAATTAACTCACATAACCTTATGAGGTTGGTGCTGTTGTTGTCACCAGCATTTGACAGTGGGGAAATGGACACAAAGAGGTTAAGTCACCTGTCTGAGGTCTTCTAGTTAGGAAATGGTGGAGCCAGGATTAGAAGCCTGTAACAGCTTGTGTGGTCTCAGAAGTTAAATGTCTTCTGTGGGCTCTGGGCTTATCGGGAAGGATTAAGACATTCTCTGTCCACAAAGAACTAATAATTTATACAATTACTTTTGTTGTCTATTCTCACATCTCTCCTGCTGTACTGTAAGCTCCCTGAAAGTAGGGTGTCTTTGGCTCACCTCTGAATTCTCTGCAGGTGAAGCACGGTGACAGGCTTAGTTATAATTGGTTGAATGAATGATTGGCTCTATCATAAGAGAGGGATGTCTGATGAAACACCTTGTCTCCTCCCAGCCCAGTGGCAGACCCTGAGCTGATTAAGATACACATATTTGTTTTTTACTGGCTCCTTTCCCCCTTTGCCAAGTAACCTCTTGGTTTGACAAAGTTAAATTCTCCAAACACCATTTTAAAACCTTTCTCTTTTAATCTTCACAACGTTTTGAGCTCAGAGGTATTTTGATCCCCTTTTGTAAAGGAGGAAACATTTAGGGAGTTTCAACCTCTTCCTGATGTCCCACCAGAAGAGGCAAAGCTAGCTGAGCTGCATTGTTTCCTAGGCCAGGTGTGTGAAAGTGGGGGCGTGGACTCCCCTTTCTAAGGTGGCCAGCCTCAACTTACCTTCTCTTCAGGTACTGCCTCTATGCTGTTCTTTTTCCTGGTCCCTTTAAAAATCTCTAGTATTCTAGTTTGGATGCACCTGTTGTTTCCCCTTTTCCCCTAAGGTCCCCGATTTCTCTCCTGATTAAAACTGAATGTCTTCATCTTGAAGGTCAGGAACAAGTTTTGGGAATACTGTGGGGGGTGGTGCACTAGTATGGTTGGATATTTGAAAAAAAAGGACAAATGAATTCTCTGGAAAAGAACATTAGAAAGCATATAAACCTGCCATGACAGGACAGTGATCAGAAATGTGCTGTTAGTCCTAAGTGTAGGAACAGAGCAAATATGCAATTTTTTTTTTTAAGTCTTGTTTCTAACGTTTGTTTATTTTTGAGACAGAAACAGAGCATGAACGGGGGAGGGGCAGAGAGCGAGAGGGAGACACAGAATCTGAAACAGGCTCCAGGCTCTGAGCTGTCAGCACAGGGCCTGACGTGGGACTCAAACTCACGGACTGCGAGATCATGACCTGAGCCGAAGTCCGCCGTTTAACCAACTGAGCCACCCAGGCGCCCCGCAAATATGCAATTTCTAAATTAGTTACCAGGATTTAAAATTGGGGAGATTTCACATGAGTACTGGATTGCTGACTTTTGAAAAACACCCAAAGATTTGCTAGCACTTGGTCCACAGCCTCATGAGGCCACAGTGGGCTGGAGCTGAATGGCAGCCACCATCATTAACCAGGCTAGATGTTCTTCAATTGTCTTCTGTCTCCATCTGCCCTATATTGCTCCTCTGTGTTTTTTGCCAGCCCTTGGAAACATGAGATTGTGTTTTCTGATTCACAGGGAATGTTTTCTCGTTATAGACTTGCTCCATTTATTTTTTTTTTTAAATTTTAATGCTTTTATTTATTTTTGAGAGCCAGAAAGAGAGCGCCATCAGGGGAGGGACACACAGAGAGGGAGACACAGAATCTAACACAGGCTGCAGGCTCTGAGCTGTCAGCACGTAGCCTGACATGGGGCTTGAACCCATGAACCGCGAGATCATGACCTGAGCAGAAGTCGGATGCCCAAGTGACTGAGCCACCCAGGCACCCCAACAGTCTTGCTCCATTTTAGATCAACTTTAATCCTCCGTTTACCATCTTTATCTTGAAAGATCTGGTAAAGGTTTTATCTCTCTGAAATTGATTGTATGACAATTGGAAACAGAGCTTCAGGTTGATGAGAGAAGATGATGAGAGATAAAATAATTATATACCTGTGCTGTAAACAATTATAGCTTAATCTCACTAAGTCTCTGGAGAAAAAGGATACTTTTTTATTGTATTTTATTTTTTGCAGACTGCAGAAAGTACCTTTAATAGGACAAAGAAAAAGAATAATACAATGGTGAAGCCGACTGCTTTGATGATATTTCTCTTAGAGTGAAATAATGTATTTTCCAAGCTGGTCTGATAAGAACTCCCAAGGCATTGGTGTGCCTGGGTGGCTCAGTCAGTTAAGCATCTGAATGTTGGTTTTCACTCAGGTCATGATCTCTTGGTTTGTGGTACTGAACCCCGCGTCTGGCTGCGCCCTGACAGCGTGGAACCTCCTGCTTAGGATTCTTTCTCCTTCTCTCTGTCCTTCCCTGTGCGCATGCACTCTTGCTCTCGCTCTCTCTCTCTCTCTTTCAAAATAAACATAAAAGACCTCCCAGGGCATTTGTTGAGAATTCAGATTCCCAGGTCTTCTTTAGTGTCATAGGGTTGGCGTAGAGCCTGTAAGTCCTTTTGTGACACGTGGTCCCAAGGTTACTGTTGCCTGGCAAATTTAGGACCCCTTCACTTCATGCTTGGGTTTGTTGCCTTTTTCTGTTTCAGCTTAACCATAAACCTTTGGTTTCTTGTCAGGGTATTGGTACCTTTCTGTTCTTCTAGTGTTCGTGGTGAGCCTAGAGCACTGTAGTACAATTAGTCATGCAGCTGGGGGAATCAGTAGTGTTACATGATATGCTTCTGTTTCCCAGTGAAGTAAAAAGTATATTTATTCTGTTCTCCTGTTTTCTCAAGATGTATGTGTTTATTATGTCTGTTTAATTATAAAGGCAACCTAAGGTTGAGCAACAAAAGTACTCTAAGGCCATGCAGCAAATTAAAAGAACAGTGAACAAAATCCCGATTTTCATTCCAGAGCTGTATGATACCCAGTAAGCCTCCCTGTCTGCTTATCTGACCCTCACCTCTGAGTTCCAGGTAAACATAACGAGCATCTTATCCATGCCCCTGGCAGTCATTGCTCTGAAGTGAAACGGTGGAATGATTTCTAGATACTAGAAACCCTACCTTCAAGGACCAAAGTGTTCGCAGGTGTCCGTACCTGTCCACCTTACCTGGTCCCTCTCACATGTGTCCTGAATCCTGACTCGTCTCACCTCTCTTGGACTTTGTTTTTTTGTCGTTATCAGTGGAGGGACAGATGAGCGTAATAGGTTAAGAGCCTGGACTTTGGAGCCAAGTTGCCGGTGTTTAATGCCTGCTTGTGGCACTTCACAGGCTGTGTGACCTTGAGCCTCTCTTCCTTGTCTGTAATATATGGATTATAGGAGTACCTGCACCATAGAGTTGTGAGGTTTTAATGAGTTAGTATATGGAACGTGTTTAGAATGGTGCCTGGCCTGTGTAAGTTTTAATTTTTTTATTAGCATTCATTGGTCTGCCATCTAAGCTTAAGGTCTTAACCATGGTTTATTCTCTTTTGAGCTCCTCACATCTAATGAGTTCACAAGTCCTGTCACGCGTTATCTGTCGTCCTTTCCATTCTCATTGTTCCTTGCCCAGGCCGTCTTCCCACTTTATTATTTCCACTTTATTTTTTATTTTCTCATTGCTTTGTGTTTTTGTTTTTTTTTTTTAAGTAATGTCTGCTATGGGCCTTGAACTCACAACTTCGAGATCAAGAGTGACACACTCTACCAAATGGGCCTGCTTGTTTCTTGCTTTAAAACCTCACTTCATATTTACAGCAGGATAGAATCCAAACACTGAGCCAGGCATTTGATACCCTTGATGTGACATATTCTGCCTCCTGTTCTTTTCACCCTCACCAAGCTGAAGAGCACCACCTCTCCCCCACTTTGAACACAGGTTGCTTATTTTTGCCTTTGCTTCATTTCTTTTCCCATCTTTACAAATTCTTTGTTCTCTAAATCTCGTGATCTTCCCTTCTTTTCAAGTGCCATACTACTTGCCTCATATGGCCCACTTGTGGCTTTTCCTTTTCTTGCTATCCTCATACAGGGTAATATCTACTACCTTTAACCAATAAAGCCCGAGTTCAGTGACTTAATGTTATAAAGTTCAGTTATTCACGTAACAGTTCAGCTTGAATGTCCTTCCATGAGGAATTTCAGGGACGTAGTCTCCTTCCATCCTGTGACTCTGCCAGCCCTTAATGGCTTCTCTATTGGCAAAAGGGTGAAGTGAGGGCAAAAAAGGAATACCGCTTAAGCTCCTGGCCCTGCAGTGACACGTATCGCTGAAATTCACAGGCCTTTGGGGAGAACCAGCTGCACGGGCCACCTGGAGGTCAAGGGAGTCGGCTCTCCCCAACAAATACAACAGCAGGGCCAGGGATTCCGTTAGGTGTTAGCCATTTCTCGCCAATGAGATTATAAACTTTTCTAGGGTAAGCAGGAACTCCCGTATCATGGTACTTGCATAGAGGGGGTTTTGTTACATATTGAAATGAGCTAGTGATAGAACAGAAGGACAAGCGAGTAGGTCAGTGGCATGAAGTACTTTGGGGTCAGATGTCAGGAAGACTTACTCTGAATCCCGCCTCCGCAAATTATTAACAGGGTGACTTAAGGAAGTTATTTTTCCTGTGTTCTTCAGATGGGGCTATAACAGCATCTACTTCATAAGGCTGATGAGAAGATGAAGTAAGGTACAACACCTGGCATGCTGGAAACCCTCAGTAATGGGTGGTTAAACTGATTTAGTGCCCACTGAATGAAGTGGATTAGAAGTGGCCACAGGCCGCCCATGACAGACTAGGATTTGAGAGACCCATGTCAGAGTCCAGAACTTCCTAACTAGTGTGTGACTTGGGCAAGTCATAAAACTTTTGGAGTTTGGATTTGGTTGTCTTTCCATTTTTACCTGTTGGATTACAAACTATGGAGTTAAATCTTGTGACACTGTCTGATTTTGTTGAAATATCAGGGAAATACTGCTTTGTAAAACTGAAATTACTGAGATATTTTTAGTATTTTTTAATACTGATGATGTTAAATACTACATGGAAAAATACTGCAATCACAGATGGTCCCATTTACCCCTATCAGAGTGCTTTTGAGAACAATACAGAAATTGAGTTGAAAACATTTTCAGAGTAAGATTTTGTTTGTCTTATAGGCATTTTGTTCCCAACATCACCTTTGGGCACCCTGTGGTAGAAAGCCTCCGAAAGCAGCTAGGCCAGGACCCTTTCTTTGGTAAGTGGGTGTTACGCTGTCTGACGCTGGATGTGTTGCTCAAGTAGATGATTGATCTCCCAACCTCCAATTTCATCTGGAACCCCCAACCCCCACCCTGTGCTGGGTCTTCACTGGCTGCTTGTAATAAGCCAAACTCTTTCTTGCTTCAGGGCCTTGGCACTTTAGCTGATCTCTTTGCCTAGATAACTGTTCACTTGGCTGGCTCTGCTTTATCTTTTGGCCCTGAATTACTGGCATTTCCTCAGGGAGAAGCCTTTCTAAGCACCCCATCCTAAATTAACCTTTATCCAGTTATCAGACCACCTTCCGTATTTTCTTTTTCAAACTTCCTTCAGTCAGATTACTTTTGTCCTTTACAGCAGGGATTTAATCCACTTTGTTTTACTGTGGTTTTTGTAGAGCTAAGCATAAACACAAGATTGGGGTTTAGTGTAATTGTTAATTCTCGTGAACGTGAATTCAGTCCACATGTTGTTACTGCTCTTTTAAGCTAAGTTAGCAACGGCTTGAAGCTGACAAATGTCTCGTACGTAAGAAGTTGAACAAATTTTTATAAATAATGTTCTTAAGTACCTTGGAATTTAGTAAAACTTAGGTATTTTTTATTGACATATTGTAGGCTGATTTTGAGAAGGATTCTAGTTGTGCTGTCCCATGTGGTTGTCCCTACCCACATGTAGCTATTTAAAGTTCAGGTTAATAAAATGAAAGATGAAGCTTCTCAGTGGCATTAACCAACCGTATTGCAAGCTCTCAGTTGCCACATGAGTCTAGTGACTGTTGTACAGTGCCATTCTGGAACATTGCCCGCGTTGTAGGAAGTTCTCTCCGTCAGAGCTTCTTCATAGGATCCATCTACTTTGCACATAAGAAAGGGTGCGTTACCACGTAATTTATGTGGCATGAGGGAAACCATGTTCCAGCAGCTTGTTCACCATTTTGAAATTTTCAAATAACGGAATGTAATCCTCTGATGATCTGGACTTTTTTATTACATTTTAGAAAATGAATTTTCTAAAATAAATTTGTTCTTATGAATATCAGGTGAATGAAATAAGTAGCCATGTTTGCCCCCACCGTGCTGTGGCCACAGAGTCCTCTGCATCTGGCTTTGTATGAATTTAAAAGAAGTTGTTTTTTTTCTTTTTTTTTTTCTTTTACTTGGATTCCTCGCATCACTACTCAGTGCTATTTGTGTCTCCTACATTTGTGCCTCTCGTATCAATCCTACTGCTACAACCACACACAGTCTGCTCTTTCTTTCTGTTTTTAGTTTATTTGCTAATAAACTTGCTACTAATCAGTCTGTCTAGAAGTGGGTCTACAGTAAAGATGAATGGACTCCAAATGCTTTAATGTTTGGGTTTTGTGACTTTTGCTTTTTATATTAAGACGTGTTTTTTTTGTTTGATTCTTGGATCTTGGTTGTTGGATAATTCATGTGTACATTCTAAGAAGTATTTCACAAGTTGCATGCATAACTGGTACAGTTCTGAACTGTTCAGTCTCAGTATTGAGTGGAAATAACCAGTAAGCAATCAAGTGATAGGGAAAAAGCTGTTATTTTTGTGCTTTGGTTTTGGGTATTTTGTGTTGTTTTGTTTTTGTTTTCTTTGCTCTCATCTAAATCTGCGGTCTTCAGGTGTGGTCTGAAGACCCCAGGAATCTCTTGCGGGTGGAACATGAGGTGATGACTATTTTCATATTACAGCGTTATTTGTCATTATTTGTGTGGATGGTACAAAAGCAATGGTGAGTTTGTCTGTTGGTTCCTTAGCCTGAATCAAAGCAATGCTATTGAACTATCCAAGTTGTTTTTAAATTATTCTTCACCACCATGTATTCATGGTACATATCGTTGAAGGTCAGTACAAATTATTAACTACAGTAAATCTGATGGTTGGGTGCATTTCTTTTCGTGTTTTGTGTGCCAAAGCAGGAAGTACATATGAAGTGCTTCTGCAGTATACTGCATGATGATGGCTTTCTCAAGGAAAACCCACTTGCGCCACTGAGTTGTGAACTGAACTGGCTGCCTTTTTCACGAACACTTATCTTCACTGGAATGATAAACTGATAGATGAACTATGGTTATCAGACTTCAGTATTTTACTGACATTTTCTTGAAAGTTAACTAAGCCTGTCATTTCAAGGAAGATACCTCATTAATTATTGTTTCCACTGATTAAATTAGAGCTTGCAAATGAAAATTTGAATTTTGAAGAAGTTGTATCTGCTTCTGTGAGCTTATTAGCTTTCTCCTGTTTACAGCTGTTGTGATAAAATCTGTGGTGTTGCGTAATTTCTGATAGCAAATAATAAAACGTGTCACTCTTTGGAAGTCCTATGTCATGCAGCAAACCAGTACTGCAGAGATCCATTCAAAGCGTACTAGGACAGGCCAGTGGCTTTTAGTGTAACAAAGCTCAAAAAGTTCATTGGTAGAGTTTACAGATTCCACATTGCAGCTAACCTTTATTAAAGTCCTACTTGCTGAGTTCTGGGGTAGAAATAGAAGAATATCCACACTGGTCTGAAAAGGCTATCAATGTACCCCTCCCTTTTCTGTGTACTTTTTTCCCTTTTCTTCATATAAAACAACATGTTGCAGCAGACTGAATGCAGAGCACATGTGAGAATATGGAGGTCTTCTGTTAAGCCAGACATTAATGACTTGCAAAAGTATAAAATAAGGTCACTCTTAAGTTAACATGTGATAGATTTATTATTTTTTTTAATGAGTTCAGTAGACACTTAAAAATTGCTTAGTTTGAATTTCTAAAACATTTTAGACAGTGTTAAATACAGTTCACATCAACATCGTTTTGGAGGTCCTCAGTAATTTTTTTTTTTTTTCAACGTTTATTTATTTTTGGGACAGAGAGAGACAGAGCATGAACGGGGGAGGGGCAGAGAGAGAGGGAGACACAGAATCGGAAACAGGCTCCAGGCTCTGAGCCATCAGCCCAGAGCCCAACGCGGGGCTCAAACTCACGGACCGCGAGATCGTGACCTGGCTGAAGTCGGACGCTTAACCGACTGCGCCACCCAGGCGCCCCGGTCCTCAGTAATTTTTAACAGTGTAAGCGGAGGCTGATGTTGGAACGTTCGAGAACTGTGACCTCAGTATGTTACCTACAGGCAGATGACTCACTGAATTGGTCGCTCCCTGAACACTCTCCATTGAGGGTTCCCAGCGGTGACCGCACGCCGGAGGTGGACTGGCATAGCAGTCTGTTAACGAAAGGAATGAGTAGATATTTTAAAGCAGATTGATTTTTCCTTACTTATAACACAAAGAAAATAAGAAATACCAAATAGCGTTTGTCTTTTAAAAACAATGTTTTACCTAGTAACATAGGTTCTATTTTTGTCACTTGTTAGTTTAGAAATACAAACTTTAATCTCGGCTTTGTCAAGCAGTATTCCCTTTTCCTGATATTTTTCAAAGCCTTATTGCATTTTATGGTCTTAGTTGAGTCTAGAATTCTAGACATTTTTTCTTTAATGTAGCTCAGCTGTATCAGAGGTATGCTTCCTCTAGCAAAAAACAGACAAACTCAAAACTCTTCTTAGCATATCTGTCTGACCTAGGAGTATTTACTGTTTCCTTCTTGACAGCAATATTTCTTGACTTAACCACTTTTAAGCCGCCCTCTTCTTGTTAAATGGTCTAATGTTTCAAGTCAAGAACCTTAAGAAGGCTACCCCCACTCTCCCTAACGGATCCCTGTGATTTGAGCTTTACAGTTAGGATGTGTGTCAGACCTGCAGTTACCATGTCCTTCCCTCGAGACCCGTCCCCCGTGGTGCAGTTTTCAGGCTCCCCTCCCCCTGCACATTGGCTTGCAGCAGCTCCCACTGCCATAGCTGCAGAGCAGACCCAGAATCCTGCCACTGCTTGCCAGTTTCAATCACTGCCAACGTCATTTCTTCCTGGGTGACTACTGTGGCTTTCCAGCTTAGATCTTGTCACCTCTCCGCTCAGAATCCCACAGTGCTCCCCCCCCCCCCCAGTCTTGTTCAGAATAAAACCCAGTGGTCTGCAGAGCTCCAGGCTGTGGCCCCTCATCCCGTGCCCCTGTGATCCTCCTGCCCAGCCACGCTGGCCAAGCTACCAACCCAGTGTGTATTGTATTAACGTTTCGTTATGGTCTGTCCCCACCCCCCACTAAGAATGTAATCCCCATAACAGCAGAGATTCTTGTCTGTTTTTTATGCTCTGTCCCTGGGGCCTAGAATACTTAATGATGCAGTAAGTGCTCCATAAGATATTCTAGAATCACTTTATTTAGCTTTCTTATAAATGAGAAATGAAATCTGCATAGATAATAGGACTGTTGAGAGTTTTTTTTAGACTAGCATTTCCTGGACCTAGGTTTCCTGAATTCTAGTCCTTTTCATATATACCATCATATGCCTTTTGTGGAAAACTGGTTTTTTGAGAAATGAGTTTAACTAAAACTGTATCTTCAAGTTAAAAGGAGGCTAGCAATACAGCAGTGTCATTATTTAAGAATTCTTTTAATGCCAAGTAGTTTATATCCAAAACAGCCAAAACTGCAGGCTGGCCTCACCAGTATGGGGCAGGTATCTTCCTTTCAGTAGTATTCAGGAGATGTGTCTTTTCTTTCTAGATATGCACATGATGGTGTCCAGGCCGGAACAGTGGGTAAAACCAATGGCTGTAGCAGGAGCCAATCAATATACCTTTCATCTTGAGGCTACTGAGAACCCTGGGGCTTTGATAAAAGACATTCGGGAGAATGGGATGAAGGTGAGGGGCCAACAGTGACCATGACGTTTTAATACTCTTCACTCTTGGTGTGGACGTTTCATTAGAAGACAGGAAGTGATAGGCAGAGAAGACCAGACTTGAGCAGTTGTTTTTTAGCTGAGAAATCAGAGTTGAAGTATAAGTTGTCTGCTAGACAGGATTTCTATGTTCCCCAATGCTTTCTGAAAAGTACTGCCTTTTAGGAAGATTTACATTTGGGTAGCCTTGTTGACTCTTTTAAAAAATAGTTTGAATAACTTATGCATTCCATTTCTGTGTATATTCTACTCTTTAAGAATAGATATTTCTAGGGGCGCCTGGGTGGCTCAGTCAGTCATGCATCTGACTTTGCCTTGGGTCATGTGCTCACGGTTCGGGGGTTCAGGCCCCATGTCGGGCTCTGTGCTGACAGCTCAGAGCCTGGAGCCTGCTTTGGATCCTATGTCTGCCTCTCTCTGCCTCTCCCCTGCTAGCGCTCTGTCTCTCTCTAAAATAAATAAATATTAAAAATGAATTTTTAAACAATAGATATTTCTACTGGGTCTGACATGCCATATTAATATAATGTGGAAATAATTATTAATGTGATGTAGCAAATTTGTCTCTGTTACAGGTTGGCCTTGCCATCAAACCAGGAACTACAGTTGAGTATTTGGCACCATGGGCGAATCAGATAGATATGGCCTTGGTTATGACAGTGGAACCTGGGTTTGGAGGGCAGAAATTCATGGAAGATATGATGCCAAAGGTAAAGAAATATTTGGTTTTGGGGTGAGGCTTTTATAGTGTGTGCACATTCGGTAAGCCCGTATTGAGCCACTTGTGTATTTAGCCATGTCCTATTCTGAAGATGGGGGGGGAGGGGGATGCCTGCAGATCCCTGGAGTACGGTGTGATAAATGCTGTATGAGATTTAGCGTGGAAATCAGGAAAAATATCACATCTTAATCTTGAAATTTTCTGTCAAAGGCATTATCCCTGTAGCCTTTCGATCTCTTGGGAGATCTCTTTTCATTGAACATTGAGGGTTTTTTCTTTGTCTTGTTTGCATGAAGTATATTCTCTGCAAAGCCATGACAAGTTCAGTGCCATTCCCCCAGAAGAATAAGCCTTGCTTTTATGAAGCTGGATTTGTTTCAGTATATTAAAAAGGAAGGTATCCCTGATCATAATTTGTATTAGTAGAAAGTTAACTGTGTGGTGGGCACCTGGCCGTCTCAGTTGGAAGAGCATGCAACTCGTGGTCTCTTGAGTTGTGAGTTCGAGCCCCATGTTGGATATAAAGACTACTTAAAATAAAGAAAGAAAAATAAAGTTACTGTGTGAGACACTTGGAATCCTGTTTTAGTGGCTAGTATTTGGCTATTTGATTTTTTATTTGGTTGTTTTTCCCCTTAGGAAATATCCACCTTAGGAATCACTTATTTCTTCGTGTATATCTAGGTTCATTGGTTGAGGACCCAGTTCCCGTCCTTGGACATAGAGGTCGATGGTGGAGTAGGTCCTGACACTATCCATAAATGTGCAGAGGTGAGATTGCTCTTCAGGTCACAGCTGAACTGGTCACAGACCAGTTTCCTATCAAATGTAATGTCTAGAACATTGTCTTGTGCGCCAAACAGATTTCCTGTGTTTCCTAAATTGCCTTTCTTTCTGGGAAAGGTATTTTTTTTGTTCAAATGTAGAACATTGCGAATAAAGAGCAATAAGTGAATATTCTCAAATCACATAATCATTAAAAAGTAAGTCCCAGTTATCTCCTTAATGCTGAAGGAAGTTATTTTTTAAAAAAGAATATGCTGAATGCCAGCCTTTGGGAGATCATTAAGTTCTAGGCCTTGGAGTAAGACATTTTTCCAAAATAGGGAAAGAAAATCTCTACCTGCTTATAAAGTGAAAAGATTGTGATTTTGTATAGCTTAGGTGTATTAGTTACTGGTTTGTCCCTCGTAAAAACTGACTGGAGCCATTTCTGATGTAAATTTTGGTCTGATTTCTGGATAGCTGTGGTCCTCCTCTACGTGAGGGGGGATGAGTCTTCCCAAGCAGCCAGCTGAGCTGAGTTAATGAAGCCCTGAGCTTCCCAAGAGGGTGCCAGCCCTTCCTGTAACACTGCAGGTCATTGACGTTTATGTGGCCTCTTTTTATTTAAGCAACATGGTCTAATCTGCACTTTAAGTTTTTTGTATAAATGCCACACTTTTCTGCTTGATACTTGTCAAAAGCCGTGGCCGTGAAATACTTCTGGAAGAGGAGCTGACCGGGTGATTAGTGAACGTATGTCCTTTGACTACTTGTGGATTTCTTGTTACTGAACTGTGCTGTGCCTTTGGGCGTTTTTCCTGCTTACATTAAAACCATGTTAGGCTGTAACCCTACAAAACTAATTTTTTTTTACATTTTTGGAAGGAATGTTTTTGGACATGTACACTGTATCACAGAGTGACGGTGTCTCCTGGGAGGAATTTTCCTCCCTTCTGCTGCCTCTCCCAGTAGCCTCCTGCCACTTTGTTCCGGAAGTGGATCACGTGACAGACTGGGTTTCCCTCAAGTCAAATCCTGGGAGTGCAGAGCTAAATTTGGACTTCCCTTACTTGCTTTTTCTCTTTGATTTCTTTGTTTCCACATTTAAAAGTATATTGAATATCTTTTTTAAGCCCTTCAAAGCCTTTCTGGAATGCAGTGAAGTAATACATGAAAAAGTGCTTCATTCTTTCTGACGTCAGAAGGAGAAATTATTTAATGTTGCTGTATTTTATAGTTTCACACTTTAGCAATAATGGTCTATCAATTCCTTCACAGGTGACCCTTGAACAACGTGGGTTTAAACTACCTGGGTCCATTTTTATGTGGATCTTGTTGTTGTTGTTGTTATAGTAATGTAATTGTATTTTCCTTATGCTTTTCTTGTCTTTTTTTTTTTTTTTTTTTTATGTTTATTTTTGAGAGAGAGACAGAGTGTGAGCGGGGTAGGGGCAGAGAGAGGGGGAGACACAGAATCTGAAGTGGGCTCCAGGCTCTGAGCTGTCAGCACAGAGTCCGACATGGGGCTCAAACTCACAAACTGTGAGATCCTGATCGGAGCTGAAGTCGGATGCTTACCCGACTGAGCCACCCAGGAACCCCAATTCCTTCTGCTTTTCTTAACACTCTTCTCTAACTTTATTGTAAGAATACAGTATGTAATACATGTACCAAATATGTGTGAATCAACTGTTTATGTTATTGGTAAGGCTTCCAGTCAGTAGAAGGGTTTTAGTAGTTAAATTTTGAGCGAGTCAAAAAGTTACTCACAGATTTTTGACTGCACATGGGGTTGGTACCCGTAACCCCTGCATTGTTCAAGGGTCAACTACAGAGTCCAAAGATTAAAAGATAATTTGTTTTTTAGTAGCCTTAGGGGCACTGGCATATTTTGGAAAAACTTTAATAAAGTTGAGGATTAAAAGATTTTTACATCTTTTTTTAAATATTAGCAAAGATTCAATGTCGTTTATTTAAAGGTGGTTATTAAAAAGCCAGTGATTTCTTAAATACATTTAAAAATCATTTTATGTTTTCATTTGTTAAGGATTTTATTTGTTCATGGAACTAGACTGTTTGAAGTCTGTTCATCTCAAGGTAGCTTTCGTGCATTTAAAGCACTGACGAATGCAAGGGTAGAAACTCTAGTCCAGAAATTGTTTTAAGCTTCTCTGCGTCTTCCTTTGAAGGATAACCTGAGTGTTTACTTCTTCCAGGCAGGAGCTAACATGATTGTGTCTGGCAGTGCCATTATGAGGAGTGATGACCCCAGATCTGTGATCAACCTGTTAAGAAATGTTTGCTCAGAAGCTGCTCAGAAACGTTCTCTTGATCGATGAAACCGTGAGGAGTCCAGTGTTTACGCTCATGAAATCTTTCTCCTGGAAAACAAGAATATCGACTACCAAAACATACCACAGTTGAAGCAGGGCTGTTTCTCTGAGCAGCTGTTCATTCCAGTGACTAAAATCTATCCTGCAGAATGTTCCAAGAGGTTAGAAATTGGTGTGTATGTCTCCATTTTTAGTGATGGAATTTAAAGATTAGTGTGGTAAAATACCATTTTTACTGGGAGACTTGATTTTTATAAGAGTAAAAATATGGCTGTATTAATAGGGTTATAAACAGAAATGTGTCTTAATGCCTACTGAAGGCATACTAGCTACTATGAAAAAATATTTTTTTTCTGCATTTTGAATCTTCTCGTTTCTTGGTTGTTTTTCCAAAGCAAAGGAAGTCCTTATGTTTTTCCTGTTTCATGTCATTTTTGATTTGTGTGTGTGTATGAGAGACAATATGAGTAGAATGGAAGTAATTTGCTTCTTAAACATCTGTTTTTTATTTTGTACCTTATATTTGATACATAAAAACTGCACAGTGTATGAAGCCCAGGGATTTCAGGTGGTCTAAAATGCAAGTATAGATTTTACAAAATTTATACAAATATAGATTTTATCAGGGCGTTTTTCCTTGTTAGCTTTGCTGGAGGGGCAGGTTACACAGTGATCCCCACCTTTTCTTAATCCTCCCCACCATTCTTAAGGACATGAAATAATGTGCTAGCTCCGAGCAGAAAGGAAAGGAAAGCCTCTGCTCGGAAGTGATATTGAGTTGAATCTGGATTCTTCTCCTTTCCAGCGGTTTGACTTAGCAAATCAGGTCAACCAGCCTCTTTGAGTATCTGTTAACTGATTTATACACTGAACGTAATTACAGTTACCATGCGGTGTTGTGTTGAGCACTAAGAGATACTATGTATACGTAAAGCTTCCACTACTAGTCCCAGAATTGTAGGATAGTAGAATTGAGGATGCTCAATACAAAGTAGCTATCATTACAGAAGTTTATGTTTTATAGCCTATAAAGTACTTTGATATAATTTCATTAAAACCACAAATCACCCTTCTGAGTGATGGGACAGGTATTTTTGTCCCCATTTAAAAAAGGAAGAGAGAAAAGCTCAGGAACAGGCTGGTACCATGGAAAGAATCCAGTAGGGCAGAGGATTTCTGGTTTTACTCTTTTCACAAATGGAGCCCTTGGGAGGTAGATTAGGCAAAGGTAGCCTCGTTTATTTAACCTTGTCTAATTTTACTCGGTAGCAGAACCAGATGGCTGAGGATATTCTGGACGTTATGGATTTTGACCTCAAGGATATATATTATATTAATCCAACAAAGACCAGGTAGGCTAAAAGATGATAAGGTAGAGTTAATCCGTAAATATTTAAAGTTGTGTCCCAAATTATACTTTGACAACAAATATGTATCTGCCACTTGCAAATAGTCTTGATATATGGCAAGAAATAACAGGACCTAAACTTTAGGCTACTAGGGGTTTTGAGAAATAAAAAGTTTGAAAAATAAGAACATTAACACTTCTGCATAGAATAGAGCTTGCTTGTTTTTTTCCTATACTACAGTGTAAAAATTTGTTTTTGACTTAGGAAAGGTTTGTGCCATGAACAGGTGCCGTTTAATCAAATCAGACAACACGAGGCATATAGAAATAACTTTAATTAAAAAACTTACATAGAAGATTATAATGTCAGACATGACAAAAAGATTTGAGCTTATTTGCCTAGACAACTTGGGTTTGTCTGGCTTTTGTTTTCTTTTTTAAGAATAAATGTACAGTAAAACTATAAGCAAAAATTTGTCAGTTTTGAATTTGAATTTTTTTCCTTCTTTAAAGAGACTAGTAGAATTCCCCATCCCTAACAAAAACTTGGTGTCAGTCCCCCAGACTAGGCCAGGTGGCCAGGATTGTCAGTTATATGGGGACTATAACTTGAATAACCTTTTTTTTTTTTACATGAGAGTAAGCAATTCATAAATTGTCAACTTTTATATAGAAAAAATTATGTAATAGCTTCAAGAAGTTTCTTTAATGTATACTCCTGTATTCAGTACTGAAGCACTATCCTTTAAAAAAATTTCTCACTCTAGCATACACATGAGAATAGATGCTTGTTTGGATAGAGTAAGCTAATGGTAAGGAATGACCAAATTAACTAGAAATACAACATTTTTTACTTTCCTATTTGTTGCTCATTTTCACTTGGGGTCTTCTCTTTATGAGATACATAGGATAGATAAAACTCAAGTTTTAAAATTAGACCAATATTTAACTCTGCTTTGCTTGTCTTAATCTGTTAGGAGTGAATAGAAGATGATCTGAATTTAGTCCAACAGATAACAGTGATTTCAAATAAAGGCATATTGTGTTATCTGGTATAGAAATTTCCATATATAACTTCTATTGGTTAAACATGTTTAAAATCTCCATAGTCACTGGGAACCTGTGCTTTACAGTGCAGCTTACATTCCATGGGATAATTCATCCATGCATTTCAAGTGGAGTGGTCACTGCCAGTGTTTTTTAAAACTACGTGTGTGTACATGTATGTGTATATACTCAATACACACATATTTGTATATTCCCATATACAAAGGCATATATTTGAGGCAATTTTAATGAATTACCATAGAAATTACATAGAAATGTATAGGAAAAAGAGCGATCATTGATGCACAGGTGTTTCTGTGTGTGTACATATGTATGTGTGGGTATGAAGTCTTTTAAAAATTATTTACCCAGTAATACGATTTAACATCAGCTTGCAGCAGTTAATTTTCTGGTGCTTGTGATTTGCATCATAAACACAAACGACTAGCACTTGTCTGTAGGTGAAAAGCTAGTTATTCCTGTGGTTCAAGGAAAAAGAGACCTACCTTGCCTGTTTTAAAACAGCATAAAAGATTAATACATGCAGTACATGCTCTTACTCTGGAATTGTGGCTGAGGGGGTGGGGGATGGAGAACAGGGCTTATTTTTTCCTCCTGCTTTCCATTCAGTTACATACTTTTTTTAACCTTTCCCTGTCACCTGTTTTTTTTAACATGAGTAAGTCCTAGACCAAAAGGTTTGCATTCTTCCATTTCATCTGTCTGCCTTTTTGGATGGTGACCGTTTTCTGGTGCACTAGTACAGAAGACTTCTCCACGGAAAACGGGGCTTGAACTTTCACTATGATCCTTTTTTTCATCTTGACATAGTAAGTCTTCTGTGTCTTCATCCTTCAGTGGAAAAGTCCGTCGTTCCCACCACAAAGACTGAAAGAAAGAGAAAACCTTTTCAGTTAAGTTTCAACTAATTGGTTTAAAGTTCATGTATCCAATAATCCTCAAATGTCAACTGTGTAATTATTGTTTGGTTCTTTAGCACGTCAATGTACGCATTTTCATTTGGGCCTAAAGATCTAGCAACTCCAATGGAACATACTGGCAATTGTTTAGAGACCTTTGGGAACTATCTTTCCACTTCACCCTTCCACAAAGAGGAAACACCGCTATAAGGCACGGGTCTTCCTTATCAGCACAGGAGCGCTTTGGGAAAAGCCCCTTTAAAGGTGTTTGATCTACTTGAGTGTCTCCATTTCCATCCCATAACTATCACAGACACCTATTGACTTTTCCTTCCCCGAGCTTTCTACGACTTGCCTATTTTTATAGTTTCTGCTCTGTGTTCTAGATACAGTTCTTCTTTTTCAACACCTACTTACGAAGAACAGTGCAAAAATTTATAGATGGTGTGTTAGAAATCATTCCCTGTGAGGTAAGAACTGGATCCACGGGGAGACAGGTAAAAATCTGTTATGAAGGGAAGAGAACTAGCTGACATTTGCTGTGTGCCAGGTGCTGTTCTCTCTAATCAGATTTGTGTCGTCATGAAACTTGGATAGAATCCCCATTTCCTAACAGATAAGTGAGTAGGTGGAGTTAGATACTGACCTGTTCTACGAAAAGATAAGGTGTGTATGATTAGTGACAGAACTAGAAAATTTGTACCCAGCAGTTAACGCTGGATTGTTATGCTGAATTCATTAATTGGCAACCAGCAGGTTTCTACAAACAGGTTTTCAAAAGGGTAAAAGGCATTGAAAAAGAGGTGTCACAGGTCATGTATATCATACTTACCTTGAGTTCTTGACTTTGATTTAAGGAAGGTGAGCCCCGTGTGCCCAGATCCTGGATCTGCGGAGAAGGCTCGGCAGGACTCTCGGCAGCACAGTGCTGACCACCACCAAGGTCGTTAGGGTATTCTTTCAAGAGCAAGTCCTGTCCTTCAACGTTTCTACTGTAAGCTCTAGCAAGAAAATCAAGAAAATATTTAATTACTATTTCTTGAGGTCTTAACGTTTTATGAACGACCCCTAAGTCCATTTAACTTGGTAGCTTTTCTTTAAACAGGTCTGCCCAAAAGATTTCTAAAAATTCATCTGTCAATCTTCCTGATGCTTTCTCAAAGACTTAAACAGTATGTTATGAATACTATTTTATGAAACTGCCAAATTATAATAGTGGGTTTCAGGTTTTCAGGGAGGGAGTTTTGTTGTTTTATTTTTAAATAAGAAAGGACAGTTACTTGACCCTTACAGTCTTTCAGAGTTCCCAGAGTATTCTAAGACTATTATAATGTCATCCATGTAAGACTTGATTCACATTTTCCTCTGTACTTCTAGAAAATTATATCTCTGGAATGTGGAGAAAGAAGACAATTGAGTCTTATATGTGTGTTAAGATAACTCTTGGAATAAGGATCTACAAGAAATCGGGATATTTTCAGACCTAAAGAGAGAAATGTGTTTTCAAAACACAGTTGAGGGGCGCCTGGCTGGCTTAGTAGAGCATGTAACTCTTGATCTCAGGGTTGTGAGTTTGAGCCCCACATTGGGTGTAGCGATTACTTAAATAAAAGTACAGCTGACCCTTGATGAACACAGGAGTTGGGAGCACCAACCACTTTGTGCATTCAAAAATTCACATATAACTTTTGACTCCCTCCAGACTTAACTATTAATAGCTGACTGTTGACCAGGAAACCTTACCAGTAATATAAACCAGTCAATTCACACATTCTGTATATGTATTATATACTGTATTCTTACAGTAAAGTAAGCTAGAAAAATGAAATTTGTTAAAATCGTAAGGAAGAGAAAATACATTTATAGTACTGTACTATTAAAAATCTGTGTGTAAGTGGGCCCACAAAGTTCAAACCTGTGTTTGAGGGTCAACTGTACTAAGTAAATGAGAGGTGCCCCCACACTAAATTTAGTGACTACCCAGACTTCATGATCTTCCTGAGTTTCGGCTATATTAAAACACAGTGAAATGTAAATATAAAATACCATGGACTTTCTCAAATATATAATTACTAATTACATTCTCAGGATTTAATCCTCCCTCCCCAGAAGTCATATTCAAAGTATTTTAGACCAGGTGCTTTTTGTCTTTTAATTTTTTAAATGTTTACTTATTTTGAGAGAGAGAGGCAGAATACGAGCAGGGGAAGGGCAGAGAGAAAGGGAGACATGGAATCCAAAGCAGGCTCCAGGCTCTGAGCTGTCAGCACAGAGCCCGACGCAGGGCTGGAACCCATGAACCTTGAGATCATGACCTGAGCTGCAGTCACTTAACCGATTGAGCCACCCAGGTGCCCTAGACCATCTGCTTCTTAGACTGGTTTTTTGAGAACATTTTTTTTAAAAAAATAATGTATGGGGCGCCTGGGTGGCGCAGTCGGTTAGGCGTCCGACTTCAGCCAGGTCACGATCTCGCGGTCCGTGAGTTCGAGCCCTGCGTCGGGCTCTGGGCTGATGGCTCAGAGCCTGGGGCCTGTGTCCGATTCTGTGTCTCCCTCTCTCTCTGCCCCTCCCCGTTCAAGCTCTGTCTCTCCCAAAAATAAATGAACGTTGGAAAAAAAAATAAATAAATTAAATAAATAAATAAATAAAAATAATGTCTTTTTTAAGTGGGTATGTTAAAATCGATCACCAAGATTCTAATCCCTAGTGTAAGGTCTGCTATTACAGTACAATGAGATGATCTACTTTAGGGAGAATTTTCACATTATTTGCTGAGTTAAATCTGTTCCTCAGGCTGACAGTAAGCATGAGAAATAAGAGTGGAGGAAAATACAGAAACTCATTTCATTACTCTGTAATTAGCCAAAATGTATATATATATTTATTTTGACAGACAGCACGAGGGGGGGAGGGAGACAGAATCCCAAGGAGGCTTTGCGCTATCAGTGTGGAGCCCAACACGGAGCTCAATCTCACAAACCTGTGAGATCATGACTTGAGCCAAAATTAAAAGAGCTGGACGCTTAACTGACTGAGCCATCCAGGAGCCCCAGCCAAAATATATTTTGAATGTAAATGCAATGTTTCCCTCCTGTGCACAAATAACTGATGTTATACAGTAAATACTTTTTCCTTTCTAGTGGTCTTCCTCAATATTCATGCAGAATTTTGTTAATTCTACATGGATTTCATGGTTTTGGCTTTTAAATTGATAACACCTGCCTGCTGTTTCTTCTGTGCCACTTGCTTTGTTCCCATAGTGACCATCTGGCTTGCTCTCTCTCTTCATATTTTTTGTGTCTTAGGGAGAAGACTTCATCAGAAAGATCTTCTACCTGGAATTAGAAAGAAAGTTTTTCTTTTATCAGAAACATTTTGAGATAGAACAATTTCTCATCAAGAGAATATAGGAAGAAAACTCTAAAATTGAACTTCAAATTCGAAAATAGAGGGAGTGAATTTTTTTTTTTTTTTTTTAACTTTTTTACTTCTGGGTCATACTGGAAGACTTAACCTAGATTACAGATAGGTTCACAGTGCTTTGTATAAAAAATTCTTAATGCTTAATTCATTCAAAGGTTTGTATTTGATTGCCCTTTATGGAATACACTGTTCTCTTAACATGTTAATATCAAAGAAAAGTAAAACTGAAAAAAAAAGAAAATTAATTTTAACTAATGAGTTATCAGAGGTTCTAAGACTCTGGTGGTAGTGGTTTAAGAATTTGGGTTTCCTGGCCAGAATCATTCTGAACTAGGGAAGAGTGCATTGAAAAGTTGATTTGGTAGCTGAAGAACAGTCAGTGGGCCTAGAAAGATTATGACAGAGACAAAATGTCTTACATAATACAGCTTCTACAGATCATCACTTTCAAATTGATTTGGTTACACATTTTTCCCTGAAATTATGCTTGTCTCAATAGAAGTTTTACCCATACAGGCTCACAGTCCCTTTCCTTCAGTTCTAAAAATCTGAAAAAACACGTGTTCATAATTCATTTGGTAACATAGCCTGTTCTGGAATGATGAGGTTATTCCAATTTCTATAAATATTTCCCTACAGAAACATTAATATTTGATTATGAGAACTATGCTAGACTCCACATATGTCTTCTTTCTTAAGTCCAAAGTTTTCCAAATTCAAAAGCAACCTGTTCCCAAGGTTTTGAATATGGCATTGTAGGGTTGAATATTAAGACCACATCTCCTTAAACAGAAAAACCGGACTAATAGCTGGAAATGAATATAGATATTAACATAAATTCAGTGTTTCAACAGTTCATGTAAGCATCTGACATGTTTTTATATGTTACTGTCTTTGCAAATCTAAATTTGCA